TGTGTGTGTCACGGCGGCCGCCGCGGAGAGCAGCTCCCTCGGAGGAAGAGAGGAGCCCTCGGGCGGCGGCGGGAGGGAGCTGTCACCCAGCGGAGCCGGGAGCCGGGCCCTCCGCTGCCGGGAGGGCAGAGCAGAGCCAGGGTCCTCCGTGGGAGAGCGCAGCAGGTAGCCGGCGTGTTGTCTGTTGGCGTGGGCGAACTGTTGTAAATAAAGCGTTCGGCCGAACCAACTTTTTTGACGGTCGAGAAGCGTACGGCTTCGTACAGTCTTTAAGTAACGAGGTAGCCTCTCTTCAGCCATTTCCAGATCTTGGTTTTATTCACCAAGCGTACTAACTCTTCAATTTTTATTTATTTATATTTTTTTAAATCTTTCCGTGCAGAAGAACTAGCAGCGAAGAGACCTCTGGTAGGTTGAGAGTTCGGTGTGACTGACGTGTTTGCAAGAAAACATGCTTCAGGATGCGATGATGAATTCTTATGTTGAAATTAGGAAGTAGCCTGTAAGACGAGGAAAGTAAGAGGGGATTTAAGGGAAAGAGAAGCGAAGAGACCAAGTACACATGTAGAGTATAGAAGAGCATCATAGCAGAACAGAACTCGTTTTTTAAACAGTAGAGTGATGAGGTATTTAAAAGCAAAGTTAATAATTGAACTGGGTGAGCTGACTGACTTCTTTGGATCCTAACTTTTGTTCCTGTCTGGTAAAGCATTCACGGGTTGGAGGATGTCTTCTCTTTCTCCCTTCTCGGTGTTGGATTGGCAGAGGTTGGGAATGTCCATCAGTCTGGTGTCTGTGTGGCCTGGTAGGGGTAGAGTAAGTTATGTGAGCGTCTTTCTCCTGGTAGCACCTACTTGAGAGGACAGTCATCCTAGAGAAGTGATGTTGATCAACCTTGGGGATGTTTTCATTCCCCCTGTGTTCCAAATCAATACTAAAGTTAATGAAGGCTGAAGAGAAGCTGTACCCTGGGGAAGCTGAAGGCAAATACTTCACAGCTAGCCATCAGGAGGAAAGTATGTATGTACAGCTTTCACTTAGGGGGTGTTTTGAAACCAGTGCTGTTGAGCTCAAAGAGCTGCGAGAGTGTGGGCCCACTTCTAAGTCAGACAAGAATGGAAGGGAACCAGTTTTCTGTTGTAGGAATGAACCTTCATCCCCACTGATACCAGAAGTCTGTTTTCTAAGTATGTTGCTTCTAAGCACTAGTTGTGTGTAGTCTTTTATCCCAGCAGAGGTGCTGGGATAAGAAACATGCTTTGTTTATCCTGCTGAATGAATGGAGGCCAGTTACTTCACACAGTGATTGATATTCATTAAATAATGGTATGCAGATGCTACTAGGCATGGCTAGCTTCAAACTTGTGCCTCAAGGCAAAATGGTTGCTAATTCATCATCAGTGTAAGATCATCCTGTTTAATGTGTGTGACAAATCTGTGTGGGACATCCGAAAGGAAAGAGAACCCATAAACTTGAGAGAGAGTTTTGTATGCAACACACATGATGTTTTCAGCAACTCGGTGGTTCTGGAACTGTGCTGACGAGGGCACTACTGGGGATATCACTGAAAAGAAAAAACAGTTGTGTTCATTCTAGCTTGCGTTGGAGAACAGGGGAAATGTGCAGTGTGTATAATTAAAGGATGGGGTTTGGGGAGAGAGGAATGTTACATTTTAATTGTAAAAGCATTGCAGAAAGAGTAAAATGTTTTAATGTGGCCTTAATCCATAGCTTTAGCTACCGATTATTTATGAAGTATAACAATTCCATCAAAACCCAAGTCTCATCAGTATTGGAAGAATCAACACCATCTGACTGGCTGGCTTTGGAATATTAATCTAGCCTAGCTGTCATAAATGAGCTCTGGGGAAAACCCTAATGACACTGAAAACTCAGTATCTCAGGAGCAAAAAACCACATTAGTGTTCAAATAAATATGATTATTCATACAGATTATATATTGTAGTTTGCTTTTTTATGTTGACAGTTTCTTTTAATTGACAGCTCTTAACATTTGGAAAAGCAGAAAAATGGCATCAGAAGACATCACTAAGCTTGCGGAGTCGCTTGCCAAAACCAAAGTGGGTGGTGGACAATTGAGCTTCAAAGGCCAGAGCCTTAAACTCAATACAGCTGAAGATGGTAAGAGAAAATACCCTTGTGTTTGGGAAGTGTCTCCCTGAAATTCTAAAGTCTTGTGGTAAACCTCCTGCTAATCCTGCATGGCCAAGCTGTCATAATATTAGCTGTGATGGAAGGGTCTTTCACCTACAGCTGCTTCTGATAGAGACACTTCCTTCCCTTCTTGTACCCTGCTTTGACCTGCTATGCTGGCAGTGCTACAGCTGGCAGAATTGGGATTTGGGACTCTGGTGTGTGATTCTTGTTTTCTTGCTGTTCTTTCCAAGTCCTTTTGGCAGTCACTGTGCGTTAGAAGTCAGTGCTCCTTTTAAAAAGAGTAAGCAAGTGCATGACAGCACTTGGAACAAGTAGATGCTTCAAAGACTTGCAAAGAGGAATGGGCTGATACGTTAGTCCGCTGCAATAGTTCAGTTTCTTCCCAAATTCTGATCAACTGGTTAGACTCTTGTTTGGTTGGTTGGTTGTTTTTTTCCCCTGGAATACCTCTTGCTGGTATATGTGTGTTTCCCAATTAAAAATGTCTTGCAGTGGCTGCTAATGTAGTAAATATCTGGAGAATATGTATATATTTGCTATAGATTATTCGCTATAGTGCATACCTTTTTTACTGATTCCAAAGGTGATGGTTTTTTATATGCCATTTTAGTATCTCTGAATCATAGAATAGTTTGGGTTGGAAGGGACCTTTAAAAGTCATCTAGTCGACCCCCCCCTGCCATGAGCAGGGACATCTTCAGCTAGATCGGGTTGCTCAGAGCCCTATCCAGCCTGACCTTGAATGTTTCCAGGAATGGGGCATCTACTACCTCTCTGGGCAACCTGTTCCAGTGTTTCACTACCCTCATTGTAAAAAATTTCAATGTAGTGCAAAGCCACTGAACTATGGGGAAAGGCTTTGGAGCTTGGGAATGATAGCAAATGCCCAGTGACAGAAGAGAGTCTGCAGCCTGCTCCTGTGTCTTGCCCTCGAGTTAAATTGTTCCACCCTGACATATTTGCTAAACGGGCATCCACTTTTGTCAGTCAGTGGGAACTTCTTCCTGTTGCTGTGGCACCAATTCCCATTAACTTTTAGCTTAGTCCTTGCATCTTTGTAGGCACATGCACTCTTGCTCCTAAACCATGTGCTGAATGGCAGAGGAATCTTACTTAGGAGTAAGTAAGGAAACTTACTTTTGCAAATAGGAGGATAGCTATCAGAGAATAGAACTAGAGATAAATTATGAAAAGGCAGGGTGGGGAATGGAGAACGTTCTCTCTAGTGACCTGACATTTTAGCTCTGCTCTCCACTGCTGTTTCAAGATTCTTTCAGATAACATTGCTCAGCTGTTTTCACTAAGGGTAGAGTTGAGCAAGTATTGCTGCATCAGAGTGTTACTGTGGTACCCAAGATGACAGTTAAAAGGCCAACTAGACTATCTGCTTTTTGCAGCTGAAGAAGTGATCAAGCAAATTGAGGAATTTGATGGCCTGGAAGCACTGCGTCTGGAAGGCAACACAGTGGGTGTGGAGGCAGCAAAGGTCATTGCCAAAGCCTTGGAGAAGAAATCAGAGCTCAAGGTGAGATCCTCAAGTGGGTGGTGGTGAAAGGGAAGAAGTAGAGAATACTCTTCCTGCAGTAGCGTGCCTTGAGTTAGCCCCAAAGGTTGCTTGGTGGTTCTTCCAGTAGGAGGAACAACCATATGAAAATATGGCAGAACATGGGGACTTTGGGATAATAGGAACATTTTCTGCATTCCTAACTGTTCCTGTTCAGAAGGCTTCCAATCGTAAAGCTGGGAAGCTGTGCAAGGAAGAGCCTCTCTGCAGAGGCGGGATCTGTAAACAAAGAACTGTGGCAACAAAACTTAAGTTCTAATGGAAAAGCTGGGTCATATCTTCTGGAGAATGATCAGATCTTCTGAAGAATGAGTCTTCAGAGAATGCCTGAATAGGGAGGAAATAATGGAGGAAATGCACCAGGAGGTTTTTCCATGTCCAAGCTATGCTTCCCTACTACTGTTCTAGCCTAATGTTAGGAGGATGCTGTCCTGCTAGAGGCACTGTCCTTTGCAGGAGAGGAGCGTGAAACATTGATTCGCGTTAATCACCCAGGTGTGGCTTTTCAAGTAAGTTCAGATTGTTGAGCTCCATACCTTAGTAAAACATGCATTCCTAATGTATCCTTCAATTTCCTGCTTCTTTTTCCTGTGGTAGTTTTCTCGGCAGAAAAGAATTCCAGCTTGAATGCAAGCAAGAATTCTTGTTTTATTTACAATGTGCACTTCAGTGGCTTTATGTCCTTGCAAGTGAAATAATTGTAACGTTAGTTCTTGTAGCGCTTTAGTACAATCAAATGACAAGCCCAAGGGAAGGCAGACAGTATTAAGCTGTCCCCCATGATGTAATGTAGCTTGTATGTGTAAACCTCTGTACAACTATGTTGTCCTAAATATTTTAATGGTTTCTATCTGTATGGTTTTTTATTTTAGAGGTGTCACTGGAGTGACATGTTCACAGGGAGACTAAGGTCTGAGATCCCTCCTGCTTTGGTAAGTAAAAACTAGATCTGAGACTTCTGACAAATATAACTTCTTTTCTCACCTGTCATTCTTTTTGTGGGAGTATGTTTTTTAGCACAGAATTGATCTTTCTCTACACCGTTAACACTAAGTGTCTCAGAATAGGCAAGTGATTCTTTTTTGCTCCTTCTGTATGAGGTGGAGAAGAGTTGATAAAAGGCCAAATGCAGGTCCATGCTAGTGAAGAACCTTGTCACTGGGGAAAACATCCTCATGACCTGATGGATAGAATGGGAACTAAGCTTTCTAAATAAAAGCATATGGCCATCTCTTCCAAGAGCATTTGGAGCTCCCTACCTCCTTGAGTCCTGTGAAGCAAGAACATGATAAACTCAACAGAATGAAAACAATATTTCTTTTAGCAGTGTAGAGTGAGAAACTCACTTTGAAAAATGAGCATTTGACCTAAAGGGATGGGATAACTTCTTGGTAACTGCCTTATGGTTATCTTTGGCTTAATTCGCACAACTTCTTCTCTGGCTTTAGCTCTAAAGTTTTATTTCCCTATGCAGCTTTGCTGAATGTCTTCAAAGTGGAATTTTTTTGCAGAATCACTCCATACCTAGCCACTGCAGTGATGCTGTCACTAAAAGTCAATCCACTCCCTCCCTCCCACCCACTGCCATCTGTTTCCTTACAGATCTCTTTGGGGGATGCACTCATCACTGCTGGAGCCCAACTGGTGGAGCTGGACCTGAGTGACAATGCCTTTGGCCCAGATGGTGTGCGTGGCTTTGAGGCCCTGCTGAAGAGCCCCGCGTGCTACACTCTGCAGGAACTCAAGCTCAATAACTGTGGCATGGGCATTGGTGGTGGCAAGGTAAGGGTTGTCTCCTTTTTGGGAATGAGGTCAGAGCCAGCACTTGGCTCCAGACTGCCCTACACCAAATCACAGAATGGTTGAGGTTGGAAGGTTGGTGATCGTCCAGTTCTAGAGCTGGATATACAAAACACGTTTGGATTCCTTCAGAATGAGATGCTGAGGTAGTATAAACTGCTTGTTTTATCTCTAGATATTGGCAACCGCTCTGAAAGAGTGTCACAGGAAATCAAGTGCCCAGGGCAAGCCGCTTGCTTTGAAAATATTTGTGGCTGGCAGAAACCGTCTGGAGAATGATGGTGCCACTGCCCTGGCTGAAGCCTTTGGGGTAAGTAGCAAACCAGAGCTTCTTGACAGCAAATTGGAGCAAGGTGTGCTTAAGTGCTAATGTTAAAGATAATGCATACAGAGCTTGCCTCACCTTGGAGGCAGGGCCTGATTGTTGGTTTACTAAAGTTATGATGTTTGCTGCTGAAACTGGAGTCTTCAACAAGTGCAATTAGAACTGATGACTGAATGTTTGTGGTGTAAGTTTCCAAACACATAACTAGTGGCTGTGTAAATTAGTTACTTGAGGGAGAAATAGGCGTCTCCTGAGTAGATTAATAGTAGTCCTATTCCTTTTTCTCCCTCTGTGCTAAGGGAGGTTATCTGGCACTGGGGTAGGTGTACCAGCTGACCTCTTGAGTGCCTCTCTGCCTAGTTGTTTAATCATCTGGCAAAAGCAACCTAGTGTTTTCGCTAGGATCATCCTGTGAGGTCTCTAAGTGGTGCCTAGCTTTCTCTAGCTGTCACTGGCCAACTTGCGCTTTTGTTGGATGAAGAGAATTCACTGTGTTTGGGGCTATCTACTTTCCTTTTCCTTCCTCCACTGCTGTTAAAAGCAATTTCTGAATTATAATGTATATTTTCAGGTATATTAATAATGATATCACAGGTTATAGGTTGTTCTTTTTTTGTAAAGAGCTGTCTGGATGTGATTTTGACCAATCAGCAATCATGGCAAAAATAAGACTTCTTAAATACTTGAGAGGCACATAACAAAGTGATTCATGAGGAATTCAGACTGAATGGCACTACCAAAATGGGATTCATTGTGTTTTGTGACATGCTGTTTAGTCCATAAACAGTGTTCATACTAATTTTCTTACGGGTTTGCTTCTGCAGTCAGGGTGAAATGTAGATCTTAATTTAAAAAATATTGTATCCAGTGATGCTACTTGGTCTGTTTCAGTGGTGTTGAACCACAGGTGAAGAACTCATGTTTTAAGGTATCCTAGAGCAGACACAGAGGGAAGATACTACTTGGGACTCTTAGAATCGGGGGCTTTATATTAATCTGACACTTGCCATGAGCCCGCAATTTCCCTTGGATTTGTGACATAATTCCTGGTAAATAGTTCTATGTAGAAGAGCTAATGGAGTTTTGAGTTGGAGGAAAACAATTTTAAGCAAATCCTAGAATAGAACACTATAATCTGGAGTTGAACTATGTCTCCTAACAGCTTTTTTTCATCTGCATCTTTTCCCAGATCATTGGGACTCTAGAAGAGGTCCATATGCCACAGAATGGAATTAACCATCCTGGCATCACGGCACTGGCCCAGGCCTTTGCTATCAACCCGCTGCTTAAGGTTATAAACTTGAATGACAACACCTTCACAGAGAAAGGAGCTGTGGCCATGGCAGAGGTGAGTTGTTCTAAGCAGTTGCTTTGGGTTTGTCTTCTGCCTCCCAGTCTCCTCAAATACAGTTAGCATTAGCACCTCTGGGTTGGTGGAGCCACATGACATGCTGCGGTGGGAAAGATGACCTTCCAGGAGTGATAGGAGATTCATTTCCTTGCAAGTCTGTACTTTGAAATTTGTGCTGCCTTGCAGACTCTGAAGGCGCTTCGGCAGATTGAAGTGATCAACTTTGGAGACTGCCTGGTGCGTTCAAAGGGTGCTGTTGCTATTGCTGATGCTGTTAAAGAAGGGCTTCATAAATTAAAGGTATTGTCGTCTTGGTGTTCAGCTTTGAATCTCTTTTGAAAATGCTTTGTTTCCCATTTCCTGGTTTTCTGTCCATTCTCCTAGCACTACTGATTATTTTAAAGTGGGATTCATTTCAGTGCAGGCTCTGTGCTCACAACTCAAAAGCAATAAGCTGTATTGTAAATCAGTGGCATTGCCACATCCAGCTGAGACTATTCTACATGGAGGTGTACCAGTGATCTGTTTAGACTCCACTTGATGTTTTTGAAGCTGTTGGTTCAGCAGAGCAAGTGCTATTCAAGAAATCTGGTAATGGAAGTATCTGACTTTAGAACCTCTCAGAGGGTCATGAGTGGGGACTGATACGTTCCTTTTCATGAACAGCTTTTAGTCTCTTCAGCATTTCAGAGTTCATACAACTAATGCTCTTTATTTGTTAGTGCATGTATCAAAGGTCCAAATATTTTTAGGTTTTTGGCAATATCACAGCCTCCTACATCAGTATTTGCACAGGACTTGCGTTTGACAACATTCTAGACAGGCCTAAGTCCAGTCAGTAATGTATGTAAACTAGGATCTCTAGAAACACCTGCCATGGGTCACAACTGCACTGGGACAGATGCTGAATACATAATTCCTAATCTTGCAAGCTTACAGTCAAAGACCAAAATTCAGCTAAGTGCTAATATTTATTTACATATATGAACCTGGTACAGAAAGAAGTAGGTGCTTTGTGGTGTTGAGGTCCCTTGCTCAGGCTTCTGCTGGTTCTACTGGAGCTTATGTCTGAATCTCCCAGGAAAACTTAAGTAGGGGTTCTCATGGGGGTATTGAGATGAACAGCCACAGGTTAAATCCTTTTTTTTCTAGAGCAGAAGTGTTTAAGGGAGCGTAGCATGAAGCAATCATAGCTGATTCATTCTGTTCAAGGACTGCTTCCCTTTTGCTGTTAATATTAAATCTCTTCTCAGGAAAGGATTGATTGAGCACAGTGTGGAATGGTGGGGGATGGTGCCTGGCTGTTGAATAACTTTACTCTTACTAGTCTGTCCACACTGTTTGTCTGCTGTCTCTGTTTATCAGTAGTACCACTCACAGTTTGTGTTTTGAAGGCCTTAATTTGCAATGTAATTGTTCAAAAGCAAATGTGCAGTCCATTTAGTATAGTAGCTACCCTTCTTCAGTAAGACTTGCTTGTGTGTGAATTCTGGAATGTTCTTGTGACCCTTGGATAAGTGAGGATCTCCAGTTAGCTAAGTACTTAAATGTCTACTACCTTTTTGGTGAGCAGTCAAAATGCTCTGGTCTCTGTGGCTATTCTAGTAAAGTGGTTACCTTCAGCAGTGCTGCTCTTTACAATAGTATGTTTCAAAATGCCTCTTTTAGATATATGAAGTAGGAGTATGTGTCAGGTTTTATTTATTTCCAATTAAAAATACTTTTTTTTTTTTTGCTAAGAGCCTCTTCTAATGAGATTCTTTCCAGAACACTTGTGAGCACGTGAAGCTTGTGGAAATGATGGATGTTAATAGGAATTCTGCAAAGAAATGTTCTTCTGTTTCTTAGGAACTGAATTTGTCCTTCTGTGAGATCAAACGAGATGCTGCTCTGACTGTTGCTGAAGCTATTGAAGATAAGGCAGAGTTGGAGAAGTTGGATCTCAATGGTATGTAAGTTTGCTAGGTCAAAGTATGTCTAGTCTGATCCCAACAAGAAACCACTAGGAAGAATGTTGACAGTATCACATATTTTAGTCTTGCAACTGTCAGCATTTAAAAAATGGTACTCAGAGTAGCTGAACTTGGATGACCTTGGGACAGGAAGCAGTTAGATCCTGAAAGTTTTCTTAAGCCATGAACTCAGTTAATTGTTAAAGTTAAGCAGTTTTGGTACATCTCTTAAGGTGGAAAGATTAAACTGATACCTATACCTGTTTTCAGTAAAACTTTTTTAATTGTTCATTGTGATATCAGATATTTCATACTTGCAAACAAAACCCTCTGTGTGCATCTGTGCAGAAGAGTGGGAGAACTTTGACCAGTGCTGGCTTTTGCTGTTCATACCTTGGGTCACTGCATTTTGGTGGTACTGTGCCATGTGTCTTTGTTTTAGAATCACTGAGAACAAGAGCTCTTTATAGAACTAGCAGGAAGTCTCTCAAAGACACTCTGAAAAATTAGGGGATTGGTTTGTTTCCAACCATCATGTAATGCTGCTGAAATTTGCTTTAACAAGTGTTTGATTCTGACAGCTGAAGTCTGTGTTGCTGTCTCTAAGGTGTTGTGTAGAAATGACTGATAACTGTTCGATTTCAGAAATAACAGGTAGACAAGGTTATACAGCTAAATCCTCAAGAACAAACTTGTATGCATCTGTTAAGTCTGCTCCCTTTCTTCTGTCAACCTAGGTAACTGTCTGGGAGAAGAGGGATGTGAGCAGCTCCAGGAGATCCTTGAAGGCTTCAATATGGCAGCTGTGCTGGGATCTTTGAGGTAGGCAGGGTACCAGAACTGAAATCAGAAATTTTTCAACAGTTTTCATCAATACTTTCATTCACCTATCTGTTTTAAAATAAGGACTGTAACACTGCAGATGGATGTTGGTCTGAGTGTGCAGCACAGTCAAGGGATTCCAAAGCAGGATAAGCCTTGTGTCTTGTTTTCATTGATGGACTTATCTCAGTGTTAATTATTGATTGTATTCCTCGCTCTTTGCTTGTCATTGTCCACAGGGTGACTGAAGCCTGAGTGTCCTCTTAATCTGTTGTAGGTGGAGATGTACTTGTGGTAGTAAGACTTGAGGAGAGGCTGCTTTTTTGTTCTTGAAAAAATGTTTGAGTTCCAGTGTACAGGAATTACAAGTGTGTAATTAATGTAACATGTAACTCTCAAACCTTAGTGATGATGAAGGGGAGGAGGAAGATGATGAAGAGGAGGAGGAGGATGAAGATGAAGAGGAGGAGGAAGAGGAGGAGGAAGAACAGCAACAGCTGAAGGAGAGAGGACAGGGAGAACAGGAGTCACTGACTCCTAAGAAGATAATTGATTCACAAGTAAGCTTACTTCCAGATGCATTCTTGTTTCTTCAGCTGGAGGAGAGTAAAGGAGGAAATGAGAACTGGAGCGAGTCTGAACTTGATGTGCTGGCGGGAGTTCATATTCCTGCATGGGCTGGCACTGTAGTAACAGTCAGGGAGATAACATGCAGGAAATAAAGAAAATGGATTACTTGGAAACATGTTTTGTTAAAGTGTGCATATGCACACTTGCATGGAGGGAAAGGCTGAGTAGTGGTTGTAACAAACATGGGTAGAAAAAGTCTTCCCATGTCCAGAAAATGGTGGGAGCCTTGTACGTGCAATACCATGCAGTTGTGCTAGCTTATTCTGGCTATTCCAACTCTGGGCTCATTCCAGCCTCAAACAGTTTTCAAATAGAATAAATCCTGACCTGATGTACCTGCGTCCTGACCTGTCCTATGTGCCTTTGCTGCTGAACCAATTTACTTACTTCCAAGAGTAAACTTGAGATGGATTCTGCCTGTTTCAGGATTCAACTCCAGTACCATCTCCTCCTGTGGACATTGCCACGTTCCTTGCTTTCCCATCACCAGAGAAGCTGCTGCGACTAGGACCAAAGTGCTCTGTGCTGATAGCTCAGCAGGTAGGTGAGCCAGTGGTCTTCTGTGCTTGATTGTCTCTCAGAATCATTTAATCCTCAAAGGTGATAACTTTCTCTCGAGACCTACATTTGCATCTTCTCCCCAGTGATCCTGAGGAACCTTATGGAAGCAGATGATGCAGTTAATGCCTATACTGGTGCCCAGAGCTTCTACATAGAATAACTTTGCTTCACAGTGTTGCTTATGCCTTGTGATATGGCCAAGGGAAAACCTGATGTCAGCTGAAGGCTGTAATTCTTGTCACAGCCCTAGCAGAGACACATCTGTAGCTGGTGAGCAGTGAACTGAATGGCCCCTGATTTTTTTTTTTTCTTCCCTTGTCTTTCAGACAGATACATCTGATGTAGAGAAAGTTGTTACAGCTCTCCTAAGGATATCCTCAGTCTTCAAAGATGAAGCCCCAGTGAAAACAGCAGTGCATGAAACAACAGGTGACTGGGCCTTTCTTCACTTTGCGGTGTGACCTGCTTCAGCGTCAAGGACACCAGTGCGATGCAGAGGAAGGCCCCTCTGGGCCAGGCCATTGGACTGTTTTGTCCCTGGCAGCAGGAAACCCCAGATAACAAAGTACCAAGCTGTGCCATGCTGTTGTGTGGAGTGAAAGCAGAGATTGATTCTGAACTTAGCATATCTTGTGCTCCCAAAGCTTGATGATGACTGTCAGTTGTAACTGCTGTCTTAGTGGACCTGTGCTGCCCTTATTGCATCTCCTTGATGCTAGGCTGTCAATAGCCAGTAGTCCTCTGTCAGTTACTTTTTCAAGGCTGTTTATTTAAAAAGCATTTTGCAGGAAGTAGCCTCTCCAGTGTAGTATTAAGAGAGTGTAAAGAGAGACCTCTTAGTGTCTCTTCTTACAAGTCTGAAAAATCTTTAATTTCTTCAGGAAGCAGAGATTTGCAACATGGGATAAGGCACAGAAGCTAATGTACAGGCAAGGGACTGTTCCTCACTGTATATTCTGGAGCAGTGATTTGGGTTAGGTCTGATTTTTTTTTTTTTTTTTTTGGCATGGACTAATAGTATCCCTCCATGTTCTCACTCAGAAACAAGAACTTCCAAATGCTCCCAGGCATCTGACCACTGACTTTCATCTTTTTCAAATCCCCCAACAGTACAGTTCTCCCATACATGAGCTACCTATCAATATTGTGCAAAAGAACTGGATCAATTATTTTTAAGACCACTTAGAGTGATTTACTGCAAACAAATGTGCATTTCCCTCGTTTGGATTTCTTAGTTTGGAATACACAGACATGGTAAAACTGTTAGCTGTTGTCTGTAAAACAGTAATGTAATAGAGTTCTCTGCAGTTGATTATGGGTCCAATCAACCAAAAATAGTCAGTTGGCATCTCATTGAGCTAGTGTTGGCCTTGGCTCATGCCTGTTAGTGAGTTGTCTCCAACAAAAAATGGAGCACAGGATATTTTTGTTGTCTGAAGTGTGCTTGTGTACGTATTTATCTTGATAGCTGTTCCTTACTACTCCTGCTCCTAAGGGAAGGGTAGAACCTGGCAATTACTCTCCTTCCAGAGAAGTAACCATCAGCTCACAGTGAGGTCCCTGGTTAACGTCTGACACTGTTCTACAGCTGCTCTAGGGGGTTCTGCTCATTGCAAGAAACCAGAATGGTCAGAGGTCAAAACGGGTACCTTGCCTACCTTGTAGACATGAGAGGCTAAAGCACTAGTTTGCCCATAGCTTGTGGGAGAATATTGGTCCTGAGGGAGCCCAGAAAACAGCTGAACAAGTTTTCTTTGTGTTCTCATTCCTTGTGGTTTCAAATGAAAGGTGAATTCTTGCTGGCCTTTACAATGTCAAGGCTCTAACTCTTGCTGCTCTGCTTCATCTGATCGTATTTATACACATGTACGCACATAGCATGCATGTTCAAATACATTGAGTAGAGCATTTTGTGGTGCATAGGACTAAGGTTGAATAGCATCTGAAGCTTGGCAGTGTGAGAATTTTGGGGGTTTTTTTTGCTGTTTTTGTTGGGGTGTGTGTGTGTGTGTGTGTTTTGTTTGTTTGTTTTTCCCTTTGTATCAGGCCTTGTACTTAAGGGCTGGGGTTTACCTGTCTCAGTGTTTCAGAGATTATACCTAGTCCCCGCAAAGACAACTGGAATCTTAACAGATATTACCTCCCAAAACTCCTTTAACAGCTGATATTCCCTGAGGTCCTGTATGATCAATCTTGATCTTAAAATCCGTAACAGCATCCCTTTCTATACTGTTTAATATGATGCATTTATTTCTTTTTAGATGCCTTGATGAGAAAAGCCTTCACTTCTGCCACATTTAATTCAGATGCATTTATCACAAGCCTCTTGATCCATATGGGACTGCTTAAGGTGAGGAAGCAGGAAAGAGTTAAGTTATGGTTGTTTTGGCTGTTTAAGACCAGACTGGCTGGGTTTTGGGTAATTATGTTGCCATGGAAGCAGCTGGGTGCCTGTGCATGCCTGATGCCCAGGGACAATGGAAGTCTGCAGGTCCAGCAGAAACTGCAAATTACAAGGTTGCATTAGGATGAAGGAGGTGTCAGCTCTTTGTACCTCTTCTGCTTAATGTGCTCTGTGTTCTCAGTCATCCCCTAGAGGCAGGGAGGGTTAGGTAAGGAAATAGTGCTGCTGCTGGACTATGATGTCTATAAAAAGCCATGTCCAGGAGTCTAATCTACAATATTATTAGTTAATGTGGTCCTTTAGGGAACCTCTTAGCATGGCTCAAAAACATATATCCAACTACTCATGCATGTTCAGATGCATTGAGTAGAGCATTTTGTGGTGCATAGGACTAAGGTTGAATAGCATCTGAAGCTATAGCATAGTAGCATGATCAATAGCATTCAACATCATGCTTTGGAGTATTTTTGCCAAATACTAGAGTCAAGTATGTAGTTACAGGAAATAAACTTTCTCAGAAGAAAGGATGGAGGGTCAGTAGGAAACCTGGAAATTGCATTAGAATACCCGTAGCTTTACTTTCAGTGGGATGACTGGTGAGAGGTTCTGTGTGCAAACTTAAGGAGCACCTTTGCCTACTTGTGCTACAAGGGTTAATGCTTCTTGCTGCCTCAAGACCTAGAAGCTGAGAATCAAAACTTGGACCAAGACAATTCTAAATGACAGAATAGCTGTAATCTATGTTGTAGCTGCCTGCTCTTAATTATGTTTATAGATTTCCTTCTGGTAATATCCAGCTTGGGGTGCAGACAGCTGCTGACATGCTTGGATACATCTTAATTTCCTAAGATTGAGCTTAGCCTTTCCTTGTGTACATTGGACCAATGCTGGGCTTCCCACTTCTTGGACAGTTCAACAGAACCAGAGATGGTTTCTGTTCTGCAGAATGCTTGTTTTGGGGACTACCACCTACCTCTTATCCCATACAGAAAACAGCAAATATGCATGAGGCACAAGTTACAGACTTGTGTTCTAGAAGAACTTTTTCAGACCAGGAAGTGGCGTTGATAATAAAGCCCTTCAGGATCAGCCAGATGATTTTTTTGTCCTCTGTGATAGAGCATTGTTGATGGATTAGGCATATGTGGAGAAGGGAGCAGCTTCCATCATTTTCTGTCCCACATAGCTGGAAGTACACGAGCAACAGGTATTCCTAGCACCATGAAATACAAGGTCATACACCTAGAAACACAGGTCCAGATCCTGCCTACAGAGTGAAGGGCTTCAGTTGGGATGGTAGTGGAGAAATAAATGAAAACAATGTAAGAGTTGGGACATGTAGGTTAGCATCACATTAGGAGCAAGAATAACTTATGCACTGTATAAGCAGGGCAACAGCAATAGGGATGACTAGTAGCTTTATCTTGTACATAATTGAGAGACCAGTTCTGGGAATACTACATCAAGTTCTGGAGGAAGCCTGCCAAAGAACTGGAGATGGTACAAAAATGAGCTACAGAATAATACACGAAAAATTTGTATAATTAAGGCAACTGAATTTTTTATGAATTAAAGTCAGGTGAAATTCCTTAGGAGAACACTTTGACACAGGGGCCTCTGAGAAGATTTGGCTTTTTCACTTGCAAGTTCATTACTTCCCTTTCCCCATTGCTGCTGCTGTCAATCACTAGGCTCTAATTGGTAAGTACTAGAATGTTCTTGATGCTGCTTTATTTCAGATGCTGGTGCTGGGAAGCTATGGAGTTGGCTACCTTTGCTTGAGGAACATTGCACTTAATCTAGTGAGCAGCTTTCTCTCCTACAGTGTATGGCAGCACTTCATTCAACAGAGAATTCATTACCTCTGTGAACTAGAGTGCATTAGATAAAATAGTGATTGTCTGATTTCCTTCTTCTTGTCCTTTTCTCAGAGTGAAGAGAAGATCAAAGCTGTCCCAAGCCTCTATGGTATTCTCATGACCTTGAACCATATGGTCCAGCAGGATTATTTCCCTAAATCCCTGGCCCCAGTTCTCTCAGCTTTTGTCACAAAGTGAGTATTGTACTTGCCATGCAGCCTTCTCTGTGGGAGCTAGTGAAACTGAGGCTTAATAGCTACCTGCAAGCTGTTCTGTTAAAGCCCACTAAATATCTATTCTGAAATTAAGGATTAATTGTTTGATGGGCCTCTACTTTTATCTTGCTTACTCCAGAATGCAAGGTTTAGAGTAAAAAGTCTTGACGCTAAAGAAGAAATGGCGGAAAGCTGGCTTTGCATCTAACTGACTCTGAAGCAGAGACTGATGCCAGTCACAGAAGAGGTGTTTTGAGCTTAAGGAAACCTGCTGGGTTTCTAGCCACTGCTTGAGTGAACTATGAGCACACTGGATCTAACTGTGCCCTCCAAATCATCCTTCTGAGTATGATGGTCAGCAGAGCTCTACCTGAATTGTCATGCTGTGTAACACTGAACACCAGCAGATCAAACCAGTGCAAAACACAAAGACTGAATTTATTCCTAAGTGAAACTGTTCCTACTGTGACAGCAACAAGGCTAGTGATTTTTTTGAGAACTAAATTGGGAGCATAAGTATTGAAGAAGCTGCTTTACTGCCTGCCTCTATTTAATGTTGTTACTTCTGGTATAGGTATGGAATCAACTCCTGCCCCCACCAGCTTTAATGTCTTAAAGCGTAGATAATGCAATAGCAGTGGAATCTGTATCTCTTCTGGATTAAATCAGTGTGAACTTAAGTGTTGATGTGATTTAGAAAAAACACCCCAAATAGTCCTTTCCTCAAGAGAGCAAGGACTTCAGCAGTCAAGGGGAGAAACAGTCCAAAATTGTCACTTGAAGCAAAACCAGCAGAGGTCTGAAATCTGTTTGGCACTCAGTGGCTCTTTGGCTCAGCATGGACCATGTGTCACACAGGGTGAGAGCAGCTTTTTAGCAGGTTCCAGAAGAAGACTTACGCCTTCCTGATTTTCCTGGTGTGGGGAATATGTTGAAGCTTGGGATCTTCTGCTGGTGAAAAGCAGAGGAATCAAATACTTGTGGTCAATACAAAACATGGGCAATAGAGATGCAGTCAAATATTGGTAGTCAGTCTTAGTTCTACTGGGATTGGAAGCAGGCCAGTTGTGATAGGGGAGAATTTTTTCCAAGTTGGTGTGGCTGAAGCTGTCAAAGCTGATGTGTAGCAGTGGTATGTGTCCAGCAACCAGCCATGCTAAAGTCAGTTTTGGAAAACAAAACTATGTAACTAGCTTGTTTATGCATGTGCAAATGCTAACCTAGAGGCCCTTCTGGTGGAACAGTTTGTCTCCTGTCTCCTCTCTGGCTTGATCAGGCTAAGAATTAGACAGTTAGAAGCCAGTGACCATATGCCTTACCAAATGAACAAATACGCCTCCAACTCAATCATGATAGGTTTAAGCAAGAAGTATCAGGACTTGCTGTGTGAAGTTCTCCAGACATATCACTGGATTTCTGCTGTTTCCTACACTGCTGCCTGTGTCTGTGATCTTGCTTGTTGATCAAATAGATATGTACAGTGTAAGGATCCAATACCAGTCCTAAAATAAAAGGGTGAAGAAAATGGCTTACTTCATCAGGCACTAATTATGCAGAGACCCAGCTTGATCAAAACAAGTACCAGTTAGTGTCAGCCCCAGCCCTCCAAACAAAGGATTTTAAATCACTCAAAGCTGGGAATACAGAAGAGGGGACTTTGGTTCAGTGCATTTGACCCTTCTAATTGCTTATGTCAGATTCCAGTGCCTAGAGTAGCCCCATAACTCAACTTGACGTGTCCTTCTAAATGAATTTGCTCACAAAAGACACTTGTCCCCCTCTCCTTGTGTGTGTCTATGTACGCCTCTCCCAGGCTCTAGGCCTGCAAAATACCAATAAATGTTTTTCATCTGTAGATGATGCTGTATGTAACAAAATCAGAGTAAAATTCTGGTCTTAATGAATTCATCAACAAAAATTCCATTGAATCCACAGCCAGCATTTCACTACCAAGTACAAGAGGGGAAAGTCTCTGAAAGAGTGAGATTTGTTTAAATGTTCTGTAAAAGTTGTGTGAGAGCCAAGAGCTTCTCACAGTAGAAGGCAGATCTGTCTGCCTGCCTTTGGTATGTAAGGGTGCTAATGCCAAGCCTGCAGCCTGCAGTGTCCCTGGTGCTATGGAATTCCTGGAGCTGAAACTTTCTCTGATTTGCAAACCCCTCTGTTGCAAGGTGTGATATTATCATAGGAAAACTTATGTCCTGTGCAGCATAATGAAGTCAACACTATATACAAGCAATATACCTTTGTGTTTTATAAATATGTGTATTTCTTAAAATGCTTTCCCTAAGGGAACAAGGGTAGCAGCTGTTAAACCCTTTACAGTTACCTGGAGAGAACAGTCCAGTTAAAACTGCTTACCTACACCCCTAGTATTTCCTTGGAATTCAGTCAGAACAAAATCACATCCTAACCTTAAATTAAACCTCTAACTGGTTAACATAGTAATTTGCAGAGCTCATTTGGTCTCTGTTTCTGCAACAAATCTACTTCCACTCATGGGTTTGACAGAGTCCTTCATTTGCAGCAAACTGGTATACATTTTTGTGATATTGTCTAGGTTTTTCCTTTAGGATTGCACTTAGCTGCTTCAGGCTTCTAAAGCTGTAAAGTTCTTGTAGCTGCCTAGGCTAGAGCTCTGCTGCCTTTTGCTGCAAGAGGCTTGCTTCTGGAGTAGTCATTCTCCTCCTTTCTTTTGTGACAATCTGTGATGTAGGTAGTGTTCTCCATTCAAAAATAATAATAAAATTATGGATACGGACTGTGTAAGCAGCATCCATCTTAGTCTGCTGATGTCAGTCCTTATTTTATTTTTTTTGGACACAAGAGGGTGCTGTGAATCCACATGTGCTTTTCCATAATTTTTTAGGTGGAAACACTGAAAGTGTGTGGCTGTCTGCCTGCCTACTTATGACTTGCTGGAGGTGGTGGTGTTTGTTGTTGTTGTTGGGGTTTTTTTTTTTGCTGCTCTTTGCTGTTGTATTGGATCACATCACTGGCCTCTTTCAACATCTGTAGCACAGGGTGGCAGGTAATTTAACTCCACAGCAAGTAAGGAGGCTCTTGGTGTTAGAGGAGGCTTGGTGTTAGGAGAGGAGGCTGAGGGAGCTTGGCTGTAATCAACATCAGCAGTTCTCTATTTCCAAAAACGGGGAGTTGCCTAGGCAGAATCACCCTGCTCATTGCCAACAGGGCTGGGTCTTCCAAAGGTGATGACTGAAATACCTCACCCAGCTGCTCTGAAGATAAATGGCAAGTTGTAATTGTGTCCCGTCTGTTCAGTGTGGGGCATTGAATGGCTCTTGGGGGAGCAAAAGGGGATAACTCTTCTCCAGGTTGTGCCTTGTTAAACTGCAGCAGACATGGAGCCCTATACCAAACTGCCTCTTGCAGCTATTGCCCATGTACTATAAATCCAGAGACGAACTTCTTGCTCCTACCTAGATCTTTATTTCAGCTCCAATCTTTATTTCAGCTCACCTTTTTTCCCCAAATTGTGTAGGCCTCATTGCTATTAATTAATTTATTGATTCAATTAATTAATTCTGCTTATTAGAAGTTGTTTTGCTGTGGTGGGGTACGAGAGAGGTAAAATTAATTATTTCCATTCTCAGAACAGTAGAAGACATTGGATTAAAATTCTTTAGTGGACGTTCCCTAATAGGTGGATACAGATTGTTGGAAGTGTCAGTGGTGCTTAGAGAACAGTTAGCCTGTGGAAACAGAAATTTACATTACTGGGAGGTGATGGGAATGTTAGGGCAATTTAGCCCTGTGTTAACCCTGCTGTGACTGTGTATTACCATCGTCTGGTTTCAAGGAGGTTATTCTGCGTGAGGTAGACCTCGCTATTGCCATCTCTGTGCCAGGCCCTTTCAGAAGATGCTCTGCAGGTTCTGTGGGCTATTTGTAAGGCACCCTGAAAGGTGGCCCAGCAAAGCCAGTCAGGTGTTAACTTGACCTCAGGCGTGGGGAGGGCAGGAGGTTACATTTGCCTCTTTTAAAGACTTAAAAAGCCCCAAGACCAAAGTTACCATTGGGTCATAGATAGCAGATGACTTGGCAAGAAAAGATATGAGTATAAGCAGGCTTGTCTTCTGCGTTTTGAGGCTCTAAACAGTGGATCTATATGGAAAATTACATTGCCAGAAGGGAGGGAAGGGGGCTTCCACCCCCACCCACTTCATTCTACCCAAAATGAGACACCAGGCTGCAGAGATCAACAATCTGCTGCTGATTTTTTTTACCTGTGGAAATAAATGTTTGGATTCTTGGTCGTTGTCTTCCTGACTCAGACTCAGCAAAGAAGAGAGAATTTTCCACAGCAAGCTCTGAGTGGGAAGCAGTGATCCATGCAGCAATGAGGGAGTGGTTTCAGAAGAGATAACCGAGGGGAAAAGATGTAGGCTTTTGGGCATGCAAGCCCAGTGCATTTGAAATAGTGTTTATTTGCTCATTCAAAGTCAGGTACAAAGCAGCTCTTAAATTTAGTATTTTAAATCTCTCTCTCTCTCCTCTTTCCACAGACCAAACCGTGCTCTTGACTCCTGTTCATTTGCTCGCCACATGCTCTTACAAACGCTCCACCAGCTGTAAGAGACAAGAGATGTGCTGCTGTGCCCTTCCCTCCTCATAGGACTGTCGTCAGCAGAGAACTCAGAGCTGCGTGGTGGGAGAGGATCCCAGAGCCCATACAGACATGCTGTCCTTTCTCTTTTCTTTTTCTTTTTTTTTTATTTTTTCCCCACCCCCCCTCATAGGAGGTGTGTCCTTCCTTCTGCTTTCATAAATTTGGACAAATCCTGCTGAATTTTTTTTTCTATGCCTCATGAAGTGGCTCCCTGGTCTGCAGGGCAGGTGCTTACGCTAGGATAAGTCAGTGCTGCTCTGAGCTCTGCATGAATTGAAAAGAAGAGTTCTCCACTTTGGTCGCATTGGCAAGGGTGTGCCAAGACTAACAGGGGGCCCAGAAGAGCTGTCATCAGGATCAACCCAGTTGTGCATTTTGTTTTATTTTATTGGACTGTGGCTCCTCCCTGATGGCATTCAGCACTGTGCAGGAGGAAGGCAGCTGCTGCCCCTGCTTCTCCAAGCCAGGGGAGTGCTTGACCCCTTCTGCTGCTGCTGGGTCAGAGGGGCAAACTGTGCTTCCCTTTGTTTCTTCTTTCAAGTCCATTTGTCGAAGGCAGTGTGTGGCTAATTTGTATTTTAATATACTACTCCCTTGCTGCTGTGGCTTAGAATATTCATGTAGTGTGGCTGACCCTGGTGGCCATTGCTGAAGGGAGCAAGTGTATTTTTATTGTAAATTTTTTTGCCATCACCTGTGGTGTTCCCTCTTCCTGCCTTTTCCCTGTCCCTTTCCCTTCTCTTCCTAATTGAATAGGCTTGGTTTGGAAATTAATACAGTCCATGAAGTCCCTGTGGAATACATATTCCCTTTCTCCTCCCTTTGACAAAACACTGGGACTGTGTGCACTGTTCACATGTTTGAAAGCTGAGTACATGTAAGAGCACAAAGAA